GTTTTACTGCAGCAATATTGGCTCGTTTTAGATTTGCAGTTTGCTGCGCGGTGGTATTGCCGAACGTGGTGGTATTCGTGTTGGGCACCGTATCATCGAAATCAATTCCCAGAGCGTTGTTGCGGTGCCACATGAGAAAATTGTGAATATGTTGGCGACGGCGATCGGTGAGATCCATATGAAGACGATGCCCACTTCGATGTTTCGACTACTTACCGGTCAGGAAGTGCCAAATTATATTTGATAATGACGTGATCTGTGCACTCATTTCTCGCGTTTTGTTTTGCTCTGCTTGCTCATCTGAATATTCTCTGTTCCCATCTGGTCATTTTAGTAAATCTTCCGTGAAAGTGTTTTTTTTTACGTGACGAGCGCTTCTTTCCTGAGTTTTCATCAAATCATCAGGCGTACGGCAAACTTTTCCGCGCATAAGCTTTGCCTCCTCAGTGTGCGGGTTTATTCCAGGTCCAGAAGACGGTCTAATGGAGCTGTGAAGTAAAGCATTAGGTTTTTGTCGCGCTGAGTAAGTCATTCAGCGTAGATGGGATAAGCAGGCGCTGAAGATTTACTCAGAAAGTGGTATAGACAGCCGGTGATATTTGTTATTGCTTGCTTGTTTCGTCTGTTTCCTTTGGTTTACGGAAGGGGTTATGTGGTGGCGCCGATCTCACAGTTCCTGGTCATCTCCTTTGCCGAATGTCACTGCAGCCGTTGTTGACCACATTGAGGTAGTTGCGCAGGAGAGACTCTCTCATGAAACGAATCAGAAGTCAGTTCTTTCTGAAACGGCCAGTCGTCAGCAAGCCTGATGCTTAGCCGATGCTGATTTGTTGCCATGTGTTACGATTGTAATTGTGTGATTTGTAGCATTTTCGTGGCATACTGCTTATGATGGATATGTGTAATTTATTTGTATTCCCAGGCGTTTCATTTACGTATTGAAAATACACTCGCTACAGCGGAATCATTGAATATGCAGAAATATCTTGTTGGATAACAGATAAGATACAAGAACGGGGTCGAAATCAGGTAGCGCGAAACCCGCCGAGACAAACTCGGGTAGTTTCTGAGCATTTCCTGCACACCGTGACTGCTGCAGTCATCGTTTACTTTCTTTCTTCAGCAAACGCAGTATTGTACTAAGCGCAAAAACACCTCCTCCGTAAAGTGCACTCATAAGCGGCTGAATTAGTTCTTGTGAGATCCCACGCATCCCACTGCTAAGATATCTCTTGATACGAAACGTACGACGGTGAGATCGGTGTTCCTGTATTTTGCACAGAAGAACAGGTAGAGTAGATAAGCGGTGTCAGAGATCTGATTGGTAGATAGGGTAATTGTTGGTGTCGCTTTGATGGTGAAGAGGAATCGTAATGATTCTATTGATGTCGAAGAAATATGAGGATTTAGATTGCTAGTTTCACTACATCTAACTAAATGTTTGAAAAGGGCGTCGTACAGACGCTTGAAATCTCTTTTGAAATTCATCAGAAAAATACAAAAAATAAATTTGTAACGTTTGAAGGATTTGGCTGAGGGGGACGTGATCGATTGAGAAAAATTTGCCACTTTATAAAAAAGGGGTTCCATGGCGGGACGAAAAGTATTGTTAAATGAATCGATTTTGACAGAAACCAAAGTTAAGCCGAGCATTTGACTCCAACAGGTGAATGTCCATAGCGCTTCTGAAGACTGAAACCCAGGCTGGAACGTACCAGGCGAGCCGGTGCGATCATGCGTTTTTGCCTCAAGTTTTGAGGTACTCCATCATATTTCCCTGCCCTTACCCCACCCCTCCACTCGATGTTTCCGCCCTTCC